TTGCATGTGTCTCCTCTATCTCCATTTAAGGACCTAGATATTTTGAAAAGAAATGATAGATGAAAATTAAAAAAAAAAAAGTATTAAACTTACATATAAATGCTTAAAAACACTAAAAATTGTGAAAAAACCATTGGCAATAATTATTAAAATTGCAACCGGTGAATAATAAGTAAATAATGAATTTAAGCATATCAACAACTTATAAACTGTTTTTACTGTTCAAAAGCTCTGTCTTTTAGTGATTTTCGTAATATTAGTACTTGTAGGTAAGGTGATGAAGGGCATCGCTTCATTCCTTTTGGTAGTTATCAACTTTACCTCTAATGATGCTTTATCGATCCCTACAAAAAGCAGCAACACATATTCCAAATTAAGCAGAGAATCAAGCAATGATATTCACATATATATTGATGTCCTCCCCAAATGCCAATCCAAAAAGGCAGCAAGGACCGTGCCAACCCATATCAAGATGAGATGAAAAGCAATGGCTAAAATAACAAAACATTCATAGCCATTCAATCAAAATGCATGCAATGTTCCTTCTTTTTCTTTGCCTTGACCATCATTCATTCATGATTATACATGAACCTTGTCTCTAGAGATGCTAACTCATTGATCTATGCAAATCCCAACACGTAAGGGCTAGTTATTGTCAATGCTACATGCATCATGATTAATTCATGCATTCCATGTGCAAAATAAAACTATACATGAACCTTGTCATGTCAATTTAAACCTAGCTAGTCTCAACAGAAAAATCTGTATCCGTACTGGTTCTTTTTTTTTTTTTTTGGTTGTCCTCTCTTCGACAGGAGGTACGATAGGCTTTTGGCTTCTAGGATGCAGGAAATTTCCTATTTTGTTGATGTGGTACCCAATGTTTAAATTTTCCTTTACTTATTTTGGTGTACCTAACACATACCAGTTGATTCTTTATTAAGAAAGGGGCCAGTAACTTCGGTTAATTATCTTTCCTAGGGAAATAAACTTTATTAAGTATTTTGACCTCTATTGCCATGTATTGTCTTTAAATATTTTTAGGGTTCTTCAAGAATATTGGTCGATCCTTAAACATGCACAACCTTTCATTTCATTATTCGTGTATACATGCTTGTTAAAGGTGACGTAATTAACCACATTCAATTTTTTTTATCCTAGCTTTGTACAGATAATTTTCTCATCATTACTGAACGAATTATCTCGATCTAATCAATTTAGTATATTATAAATTAAATAAGCTTGATTAGAGAGGATGTGCTTGTAGCTAAAGCTATCAGTTACAGAGATAAAGATAAGAACTAGTCATTGTTATAACAGATAAATATTCCTAGCAACAAAGCACTCACGGATTGCGTTCAGGAAGCATACGTACATTTTGTGAATTTATTAAGAATTCTGTACCGAAGACACCACCATTATTGGAAAAAAGAAAAAGAAAACAAAATAAATATTGCCAACCTGTAATGATACGATAGGAATATGGAGTGCCTAAAGCCAACTGACCAGAAACAATAATGGAGTTGGGATGTGAGTGAATGACAAATATACACAGCCAATCAACAAAATCGTACGATTCTGGGGAAGATTAATAAAGAGTCCTAGGAGGACAAATATTGTACGGTCGTTATTCATGAAATGAAACTCTGAGTTGACCACTTGGGCTTCTCCAGCTAGCGTAATAGCATCATTTTGGTACGGAAAAAAGTTCTAGCGAGACACTGACAGGCGATCGTGGAAGGAAAAAATTAAAAAACATAAAAGAGTAATTAGAAAACCACTTTATATATTATTATGTATGTATATGTTCGAATTTTCTCTAAAATTAATTAAATAATTTGACTAATTTTATTATTTATAAATTTATGTTATTTTTTTTAGTTGCGCCATGGCTCCAAGTTACAAAATTAATAGATTGCATTTACAACGATTCTAATCCAACACAAGATTTTGGATCATTATATAATATTAACGAGTATTTTTATAAGATCATTATCTATACTTTAGATGCATTATAGAGATTAACTTAATAGACTTAAAAAAGAATAAGCTAAAAACAAACTCAATTCTTTTTCTTTTTTTTAATCTTTACTAGCAAGTTAAAAACACTTTAACTAATATATATATATATAGTTTTCTAATTTAAATTTGATAATCCAAATATGAAAGATGTAGCAAGATCCTAACAATTGATAATTATCATTTTTTCATTATAAGTACAAACTTTACAATAATTGTGAGCGGCATTTTTAATTTTTTTTTATCATTAGCAAAACCTCTAAACTCTCTCATTCGAAACCCTCTTACTCACACCCCAAACATCATTTAAAGTTCTATTTGTTTGGATTTTGATAGCTCACTTACTTGCTATTTGACTTGCATCTTTCTAGTACTCGTCTATTTTTTTTCTTATATCTTTCACTTGCTTGCCTTAATTTTATTTGGTTTGTTGACCGTTATTTTTACAAGTCAAAATACTAGCTTTCTATATCTCGGTTTGTTGACTAGTTGTTTGATCAATTTTAAAAAATCCCAATGCATTTGGACAACTTTACTAGAGAGTTAGCGATTGTGAAAAAACAAAGGTTTCTTTCCCAAAAACAAATAAATACTAATCATTCAACAAGTTCAACCACTCGTTATAATGATGGTACCCACTCAATCCCAATAACAATGCTTACAACACTAGCTTGCTCAACACGAAGAATGGCAACAATTCTCTAAAATCTCAAGTTAGCAGTGTCAACTTGCTATCACTACCAAGAGGTGACCTTCCTTGATCCATTGCTCGGGCTCATACCATGGCTATTACCTATTCAAGCCTTCGAGCCATAACCAAAATCCTAAAGATTTTTCAAGAAGCTCGAGTTCAACTACAAGAACAACCTCAATGATCATGCATTTGCCTAAGTCCTTAGCAACATCACCCAACTATTTTATTTTGCATGGATGGAATCCTCCGTATTGATATCTCTTAAATTGCAATACAATCAACTATTAATGTAGATGATGATCCAATACCATATGTTGACTAAATGATAGAAAAAACATTCTTCCATCAAACACTTATCGAGCGATTCTCCATGACCATCAAGCTGCTTCATGCTTATCAAGAATACCAAGAAAAATTAAGAAAAATCATAAAAATTGCACATCATGCTTTTTTGAGATATTTGATTTTTTTTAAAAAAATTCATAAAATAGGTGCAAAAAAGTTACTCATAGATTTACATAGTTTTTCTTAAAATTAATTTGAGACTTCAAAAATAATGAAAAAAAAACTTATAATGTAATTATTTTGAAGAATAGCCATTGATATAAAGGGGAAAAAACGAACACAAGCATAGCACATTTCTTGCCTTAGAATAAATAAACCCTAAATCTAAACCTAGTGTCACATTTTTTCTTAGTTTTTATATTTATTTTTTAAATATTATATTTATTAGAAAATAATATTAATATTAATTCAAATTGAATTATTAATTTCGAATAATATTTAGATAGATACCTATTTGATCTATTAAATAAATAAATTAATGGTTTTGAATTATAATTAGAATTGAATTATAAAAATTACATGTCAAATCTATTTAATTATACGAAATCGGATAGAATTTGAATTAAAATAAAACCCTACCTTTCTCGTATCACTATAGATGTCATGTACTATAATATAATAATAAAAGAAAAATTTCCGCCGCGAAGGGTATCCATCTCTCACCGGGGTCTTTCTCGAATGAAGTTGCAGATTCTCTAGAATTCTTAAACTCCCCTATTTATATTTATAAAATAACTAAAAAGTAAAATCCTGGAAATATCTCATTCTTTTTTTAGTCAAAGAAAATATTTTTTTACTCTATTTATAGAGAGAAACGGACTTTATAAGACTGACCTTGCTTCACTTGTTTGCTAAAACCTCACTGTTATTGCCACAGAGCTGAAAACTCACTCTGACTCGGTTAGTCCTCTCTTCTTTATTTTTTTGATCGATTTTGCCATATGGGTTTTGCTGTTTTTTCCATTTGCTTATTTAATTTTGCTGTTTTTTGTGTGGTGGTTGCTTTGGGATGGTGTTATATTGGATCCGTACAGATTGTTGGAGCTGAGTTTTTAGCCCTGTTTGGTGGTGTTTGGCTTGTTTGGATTTTTTTTTATATTAATTTTCTTATCTGGACACTTTTTTTTTTTTTTTTTTTGTGATTGATTTTGATAGTGGTTTAATTTCGGTTTTTAAATAATGTGTTTTAGTTTTTGGATCAACATTCTTGTATTTTGTTTTTAAGAATGGTTAAGGTTTTTTTGGATCTTTAGAATAGTAATTTTGGTGCGATCCTTGAGAGAGCATGTGCTGACAAAGTTCATTGTATAGAAATTGAATATTTGGGATTGGAATGACCTTTTCTTCTGGCAGCTTTTCTTTTGTTAATGCTAAATGTGGTAATTCTCTCATCTATGATTGTAATTTGGCATTAGGACATGAACTTATTGTATAATGATGAGTTGTTTTCGCAATCTAGGGAAAAATTCATTTGAATTTCCATGTTTCTGTACCAGAGGGCCATGGAATTTTTTCACTGGTTTAATAAATTTGAATATACCTCCATCCTTCATTCATTCATAACTTGTTATAATGGAAATATAGCATTTTTTGGGTTTTTTTTTTATTTGAACTGCCATTTTCTGTAGAACTAGAAGTTTGTAATCTAGCTTGTTACGCTGGAGGTCTGAATTGATTTTGATTTTGATAGCTATGCCATATATGTTAATTTAGGGGTGTTCTAAACTTATAACTATTTTTTCAAATACTTTGTCAGTGACTAATTTTGTATGAGAAGATGATCTTATCTTTTTTTAACTAAAATCCTGTATTTCACTCCCATATCTTAGGAACTTGTCTGTCTGTTCAGTGCATTTAGTTTTGTGAGGAATTTTTTTTTCTTTTGTGTACCATTTAATACCATAATTTTTTTTCTCTGATTTGTGTTACTTGCAGCCTTTCAATGGCTAAAGATACTTCTGGTGATGAATCACATCCAAAAAGGCAGGGACTCTTGAAAGATCAAGTCAGATTAACTAAGAAAAAGGACTCTGGTCGCTTTGAGATAGTTCCAATCCAAAATCCTTTGTCATTTGAGAAGGGATTCTTTGTTGTTATACGTGCCTGCCAATTGTTAGCACAAAAGAATGATGGAATGATACTGGTAGGTATAGCAGGCCCTTCAGGAGCTGGGAAGACCATTTTCACTGAAAAAATTCTCAACTTCATGCCCAGCGTTGCTGTCATATCAATGGACAACTACAATGATTCAAGCCGAATTGTCGATGGCAATTTTGATGGTAATTTTGCTTTTACATATGACATTCCTTTGGAACCTTAGCCTTTAGAGCAATTTGTCTGAGTAAATATGATATCGAAGATGCTTCAATTTTGAAAATCATTTGCAATACACTATTCATTCTCCATCTTTCATTTGTTGGAAAGAGCTATACTGTGTATGTTTGAATTAATTATACTAATTGCCTCTGATCATAGCAATTATATAATGCAGATGATTAAAAAGTCTACGCAAAATGCTATTATACTTTGATATGGATGTTTGCTTGTAACTACGTAGAAGGTTTTTAAGAAACCAATTTTGAGGGTATTGTAGGGACTTAGTCCTGTTGGTGCAGAAAGCCTTGACAATTGTGCTTTCTTTAAGATTATATTGAACACAAAAGCCTACTCAGACTTATTTACCATGTACTTCCGCACACTTAATTTTAGTTTGAGTGAAGGGCTTGCTGTTTTGGAATTTCTGTTGGATCATAATATGATCATATCACAGAGAGGAGCGACATTGCGTCCCTGTCTTTGTGGACATTATAGTGACAAACTTGTTAGTTGGCGATGCTAATTAGTTGGATTTTTCCCCAATTTTCTTGGAACTTGCCTTCCCTTTCTCCTTCAAAATTTGAGTCCTGTCCCTTTTTTATCATTTCTTTATCTTTATCATCTCATCGTCTTCTCTGTGCTAACATCGCATCACCTCTCTTGATCACGTGTCTATGATATGGAGCCCTTCGGACTCCTAAATCAACTCCTTATCTCTGGTTCTATTAGATTCCATCAGGTTGGTTCCAACATCTTTTATGGTTTGGTAGGTCAACAGAGACATTTTATGTCATCAGTTTTTAAAAGGTGCATTCAACTAATGGAGATTTCAATGGATTTAGAGTTCTGGAATGCACTTTTTCTTCATTTTTTCTGCAGGTTTGTTGACATTTGCAATTGTCTATCGCATTCCTTCACACCTGATTTTAGTTTTAGAACATGTTGTCTTGGTTTCTGGAAATGATATGTATTAGTTGTACTAGATGGTGGTGAATTTCTATGGAGGGTTTTGGTCCCTGTGCACATATTCTTTAATGATGTTCTGCAGTTCCCTGAATCCTAGCTATAGTCTTAAATCGTGTCTAGCTGCTCTCATACCTTTACTTTCTCGAAGCCACGAATGCCATTTCAACCTACAATATACTGAATGTGGCTTTGAGATTTGACTGCCGATTTAAACTTCTGAGGTCTAGACGTGGTGGTGTATGAATATATTGAGTAACTTGAGACAAACTGGGTTGAGCACTTCACAAAATGTTGTTACTGTTATGAAAGAGCACTTCTCTAGTGTTATGGGGTGTGGAGATGTGGATGCTAGGTGAGAGATGGTTCACTGCTTATTTAGTTTGTCACAGAGCATGTTTTGAATTATAATCCATATCTGAAGAAGACATGAATATTTTAAGCATCACTATGTCAAGTAACTCTTAAGAGTTTCACTTCTTCATCTCTCCTTTCAAGCATGTACCGGAAGATTTTTAGTTCATAGCTAGAATTTAGCAATAAACGCTGCATAAGTTTGGCCACAGCAATTTTCAGCCCATACTAATTCAATTATGATGGGATCATGATTACAGTTTTTATGCATGCATTGCAAGTCTTAGTTGTCTTTCTGAAGTTCCACTCGTTTTCTGTCTTCCTGTTGCCACTCGAATGCATGGATGAGTTTCCTTGCAGCATGAGACACATGGAGAAGTATAGACATGCCTGTGGACAGCCTAACATGTACAGCTATAAATTTAACTAAAACTTCAGCTGTCTCTGCTGAGTAGTGAGTTTATATTTGCATTCTGTGATGTGGAATGCTGAAATGACAAGATGTAACCACACACTCCAAAAGTTGTGAATCATTCTTCAGAGCTGTTCAAATGTTTTGAAGTTGAGATAAATCATGCATTTGTATGCTATTGGTTCTAATACCATTCTGCAACAGACCCACGCTTGACGGACTATGACACATTGCTCAAGAATCTTCATGATTTAAAGGCAGGGAAACCAGTTGAGGTTCCAATCTATGATTTCAAGTCTAGCTTGCGAACAGGATACAGGTTTGAGCTCTACTCCATTCTTTTCAGTTGTCATACTTTCCAGTATCTTTATATTATTATGAAAATGAGAAAGTCTACGTAACACTCCTCATGGCTTTAGTACTTCTATATATAAACTGTTCTTTTGTACAGTAAACTCTGTGTTCTCATTGACCCTTTTTTTTTAATCATCCTTGCCTGGAATCATCTTCACCAAACAACTCCTCTCCATTCTCCTAAATCTAAACCAAACATCCTATTCTCTTCCTCCATCCTCATGGTTGGGCACAAAGTGGTTAAAATCTGATCACACTATCGCTCACTTTACCCCAAAATTAGCAGCAATTTTGCTTTGACACAATCATATAAAATCCTACTTAAAGCTGAACAAATACCAAGAACCATTTAAAATCATTAGAAATGGCAAAATACAAACTCAATTTTTAAAACCTCTTTTCACCATGTAAAACTCAAAAAAAGGAATAAAAAACCTCGTGCAACACCCATTGATGGAACTCCCGGTGAGATGATACCATTGATGAAACCACAAGTGAAAGATCTTTCACTAAAGATCTGATGGTGACCATCAATACAATGCATGAGAAAGGGCGATGTATTGTTTAAGAGTCAAGAGTAGCAAGGGCCAAACTCTTAGTCATCAAGCAGGACTTCAAAAGTATCACAAAATAATTAAATTGAATTTGTATCTTAGGTTTTCTATCTGTAGGCCACAGAAGACCAAAACCTTAACTTAGCCCAACATTATGATGCAAAACCCATGCAAAATATAGTTTTTTTATAAGTTTGCTGAAAATAATCAACCTCAATCATAATTTCGTTAACTTCTCATATGCACCTTTAACTTCAACCTAATTTAAGTACGTAATTGTAACAGGACACTTGAAGTACCATCTTCTCGTATAGTGATTATCGAAGGAATTTATGCGCTAAGTGCAAATTTGCGACCTTTGTTAGACCTGCGAGTATCTGTAACCGGGGGAGTTCATTTCGATCTTGTAAAACGAGTTTTAAGGGACATCCAACGTGCTGGCCAAGAACCAGAGGAAATAATTCAGCAGATATCTGAAACGGTTTGATTGTGTTATGCACCTATTTGTTTCCTTTCTGAGCCCCTGTATTTTGTCATGGTGTTGATTTTTCAAGTACTAGCTAAACTATTTTGCAGGTATATCCAATGTACAAAGCCTTTATCGAGCCAGATCTCCAAACAGCGCATATAAAAATTATAAACAAGTTCAACCCCTTCTCTGGATTCCAAAGTCCAACTTACATATTAAAGGTTGTTTTTCACTTTTATCTGTTTTGACTTCTTCTATTTTATTTGCATTTTTCAATTGTCATACAATCACTGGTTCTGGTTACTACAGTTCATCCTTTGCAGGAGTGGATTCTCCTTATCTTTCTATTGTTCCAATCAGTAGTTACTGTAGAGACTATTTTATTTTACTTTGTTGCCTGAGTATATATTTTTATTGTAGTCAGCAAGGAATGTGACGGTAGATCAGATCAAGGCTGTTCTCTCTGAAGACCATAAAGAGACAACGGAGCAGATTTATGACATATATCTTTTACCACCTGGTGAAGATCCAGAATCTTGCCAGTCGTATTTGAGGATGCGAAATAAAGATGGCAAATACAATCTCATGTTTGAGGTTTGTCCTGAAACTTAGTTTCCTTTGTAATGAAGGGTGCCAAATTAAGTAGCATGCGTTGGTACATGGTAGCTTAAATGCTACAAAACTTATGGCCAAAAAATGTTAACAAGGGGGTTATGCCTAGATATGTTGTTGAGCAGGGAAATGCAATGTGGCCAGCCTTGCCCCCTCCCTCTGTTGGAATTTGGTTTTTCTGACTTTGAAGAGTTTCTTGGTCTTTCATAAAAATTTTAACTCGTCTTTTGTATACCCTTTCTGCTATTTGGTCCAGCATATGCATCAGGTATCCAGCATACTATAATCAACTTCTGCAGAAAAATGCACAAGTCCAGAATGCTTATATTACTTCTCAAAAAATTTGTTGCAATCTTACCAGGACAAAATATGTTGATGTTATAATGACAGTTTGGGTGATCTGTGTGTGTGTTCATTTTGGGATGTTCTTTATTATGTATATAAATCTGCAATTGTTATCTGGTTAGTTAGTGATAATTCATTTTCAGGAATGGGTTGCGGATGTTCCATTTATCATATCGCCAAGGATCACCTTTGAAGTCACAGTTAAACTCCTAAGTGGCCTTATGGCCTTGGGATACACAATAGCTGCAATCCTTCAAAGAAGTAGCCATATATTCTCTGATGATAGAGTTTGTGTGAAAATTGATTGGTTAGGACAACTGAATCGTCAATATGTTCAGGTACTATTAAATAATTTCTTACTTTCCATATACATGGTAGGTTAGCTGGTGCCTCATGTAAATTTAAAGTATATCAATGTTGAAAGCACCAGTAATGAAGTAGTTAAAAATAATCTCTCAGCTGCAATCAAAGTTTATGGTACTTCCTGAATTTTCTTACTATGCCATGCAATTTTTTCTCAGATTATTTTGAGAATTCCTAGATGTTTTCAACGTGAGTTTTAAAGCAATTAAACTTTATTTCATTTGCTTTGAGAACTAACACGGCAGTCTTTATAGAGTATCTTTAAGCAAGGAAGGATTGTGAGGCCTAAAGTTTTGATCTATTATGAAAATCAATAACCATTATCATCAGTTTTAGAAACTCAAAGATTAATGTTAAATTTCACTAAAATCTGCAGGAATTAAATAATAAATTATTTAAGTTCCTCTAATGTAGCTGATGCTTACTGATAGGGACAAATACTTTGATCTGTTGGTAATGATAACAACCATTACTGTAAAGTTATATCGACCAGATTAAGGTATTATTGCCTTGGTAATTTTCTTTTCTTGTTTTGGTAGTTTCAAATGGTTTGGTTCTACTCCGAACATGTACTGTTGATTGAGCTTTACATTTTGTTTTTCTACATGGCCATGCTATACAATTCCAATGGCAGTTATTGTTGTCAACCTCTGTTTCTATAGAAATACTAGATTTATGTGAAGTATGATGATTTAGTGTTTTACTGTAGTGATTGAAACAGGCGCTGTTAATCTTTTGTCATTTATTTAGTCTCATTAATAGTCTGTTATGTGAGCTCTAAAAATGTTGTTGCTTGTCTAAATAAAGGTGCAAGGAAGAGATCGCTTGGTTGTAAAATTCATTGCAGAGCAGCTAGGTTTGGAAGGTTCATACACTCCACGTACCTATATAGAACAGATTCAACTGGAAAGGCTTGTAAATGAGGTCATGGTATGTGACTATCCAACTCTTAAGATGGCTTCTCCTGCAAAAGTGGTCCTGATCTGATCATTCTGTAGGCTTTGCCAGATGACTTGAAGACAAAGCTCAGCTTAGATGAGGAGCTGGTTTCAAGCCCCAAAGAAGCACTTTTGCGAGCCTCTGCTGATAGGGTTGCCAGGAGACTTAAGAATGTCAGAAGGTGCTTTCACCAATTCAACTCTCTTATGATTCTCTGCGGCCAAAACTATTTTGTCACATTGCTAATCCTTCTTTATTGTCCTTAATGAGTTCCAAGTATATTATTTGAAATGGCAGAGATATATAGACTGATCATATTTTACATCAAACAGCGGTATGTCACATTCATATTCCTCCCAAAGGGACAAGAACTTGTCCAAGCTTACAGGGCTTGCTGCAACCAGCAATAGGTTTGATGATAGAAATCTGGAGTCACCAGCTGCCATAGCCAACCAGGTCTTCCTTTTAGTTTCTCAGCTGTTGTGCCTCATTTTCCAGCATATAGTTTTTGAATTCAAGTCTTTATGGCTGTCATCTTGTTTTTATAGTATGAAGCGGTGGAACTGAAGTCTTCTTGTTTTACTTTATTCATCTTGCCACATATATTCTCGTGTAGGGAGCCATAACTCAACTTTCAGAACAGATTTCTTCACTAAATGACAGAATGGATGAGTTCACAAGCTGTATTGAAGAGTTAACTTCCAAGTTAACGGTCAAGAAGAATTCTCCTAGCCAACAAAACATGGCTCTCCAAGCTGAAGTGTGCAATGGTTCTGCTCCAACCTCTTACTTCGTATCTGGTTTAGGCAATGGTTCCTTGACTGGATCCAGAATGCCCAATTCCTCATCTTCATCCCAGTTGGCTAAGGAGTCACCTTTTGTGGAGGAGGTATCAAGGCTTGCCCCTTAAACCATCTCATAATTCATTTGTCTACTTATGCTTATAGGTCAATATCTACACTTGACAGAAGTTCCTGTAGTCAATGGTTGGAATTAAGATGCTGACCGGTTTGATTCTTAAATACGCTGCTATGCTTGTATTGAGAGGGCGTTGAAAGTTTTTTAGGAGAAACTTCACAAAAGTAGGAACAAATAATTTAATCCAAAAACAGGGATGTCACTAGGAATAAACAGAAAACAGAATAATTGCAACTTAAAAAAGCAAAAACAAGTGCATCTGAGTTTATAGAGTGGTACTGAAAATTATGTGTTTCAAAGACTATCCAGCTGGTGGAAATGACTTCCAATCTTCTCATTTATTGTTCAATTTGGACAGATTTCAGGAATTGCCCGGGCACAACGTCAAGTCATGCTTCAGTTAGATACGTTAAGCAACATTGTTCGTGACAGCTTGGGAGAGAGGTCACAGGAAGTAAGGAAAAACAGGAATAGCTTGATTGTCCTTGATGGCCAGGCTCCCCTTATTGCAGCGTTGGCTTTTGGGTGCGTTGGAGTATTTTGGTTTGTTCGAACCAGAAATGGACTCTAGTAGATTCACATTTTTGTTCACGACTCCAGATTTCTTTCTTTTCTTTCGATATTTCTCAGTAGAAGTTTTCTGCATGGTGCCCTCTTGCTCGGGAAAATCAATAATTCATCATTGAGTTTATTATGTTTGGAGCTAGGAGCCTTTAGTCTATCCGGTAGTTTATGGAAGAGGGATTATGCGAATTTTGTATTAGGTCATGTTGGCAACGTTTAGCAGACTTTTTATCATATTCTGAAATAGGAAATTAATAGCGAAAGGTTATTTAGCCTTTATCTGGCTTTGCAATCATCTAAATCAGTGGCATCCTCTTCTGCCCAACCCTATGGCAATCGCCATACATATTATTCTGTAATGAATACATTTTTTTTTCGAATTAAGAACCAATTAATTGTAGATATACCAACCAATTCTTAGCCAAGCAGAGTTTCGATTGAAGCCCTAAAGTAATATACTGTTTTTATTATAAACGCTAGATTATATTTTGTATTTAATTGGTTTTCAAATTATTTTATAAATTTTCATTTATTTTTTTATCTTATCAATTGGCACTGAATATACGTTAAAAATGCAATTGTGCATGGCAAATTGGACCAAATCCTTTTCGATAGTCAACGAGAAGGCACTAAAACGTATCCGTATCTTAACCAAGAATAAATAAATAAGTTCTTGTATGAGGTATAGACATATTGTTATGAGACACATTACATTACAAAAGAAACTAAAGTAAGTGGTGGACTTACTACTGTTAAACTGTTCATCTTAACCCATATGTTGTACTGTGGGCTGGGGCTCATGAGTCCTGTTTTAATTTCCTAAGTCCGTTTCAGCTGTTCATTCTTGCTTATCTACGGTTGGTGCTCCATCTTTTGTTGATTTGGGGTACTTTTTTTCATTTGTTTTATCCGTTTGTCCTGCTTATTTGCGTCATTGAGTTGTGAGCTTAATTGCTTTTTTGTCATTTTGTTTTGCTGCAACATTTCGTTTATGCCCTCATTTGCTTGCTGTTTTTTTCGTTAATTTTGTTGTCATTTTCGTCACTTTTCTTATTTTTCTGGAGAACATTGAGCGCTCTGCAGCCGTTCTCTCGTCCCTTTCTTTGTTTGTGTTTAGATTTATATGATTAGATTAAAAATGTATTTTAAATCATTGTTTTGTTTTTTTTTTATAACAAAATTCAAATTAGTTAATTAACAATTAAAAGTTAAATGCCATAAATAAAAGAGAGATGGTTGCTTTACGTACAAGGCTTGTGCAGAAGAATTAGCCATGTATGACCTAGAAATAAAACATTATTTAAAAGGAAAAAAAAGAATGAATTTATGTGTTTTATTTGTTTTTTTCTATAATGAAATTTATTAAAATTAATTTTATAATAATTTTTTTTTTTGCCTATTAACTTCAAATTCATTCAATATATTCCTTGTAAGTTAATATTTTTTTATAATGTTTTTAATTTTACTTTACAAACTCTGAACCTACTTAATATAGTTATTATGTATAAAAAAAATTAATCATTATTTTTTTTAAAAAAATTAACTATGCAGCTAACAACAATAAAAATTTATTATTTATTTATTTTTGGATATTTCGAAAGTAATTTCTTTTCGACTCAAACTTATGAGAGCAAGTGCATTTTTTTTTATATATTTATTCACAAAAGAAAGACTAATGTTTGAAGAAAAAATTGTATTTAATTTGTCCATTTCTATGTAAGTTTTTATTAATTATTATTTTGTTTTTTTGATACAATCTTATGAAATACTAAGGTTTTTCTAAAAAAATATTTAATTTTCTCTTTAGTTAAGAATAAATGGATTTAGAAGAATAAATCCTTTTTTTAATAAAAAAATTGTGAAAAAAATTAAAAAAAATAGTTAAATACAAAATTTTGATTAAAAAATTATAAATAATTTAGTTTTACTTTTAATTTCATATATTTTTGTAAACTTACAGTATAAAATAAATCATCAAAGTGAAATGAACAAACAATTTTATCTCTTCTATGAAACCCACAATTCAAATAAAAAAAATTAGTAATCTACTATTTCTGGTTGAATAATTTTCATTGTAACATTTACATAATTGTTAAAATATCTTAGAATTAGTGACCTTATATTTAATTAGGTAAGTTATTTTATAAGAACATCAGTAATAAGTCTAAGATTGTATATTTATTTTTTTATTCAGTATTATTAGGGATTCGTCTATTTAAGAAATTGCACTAGCCTTTTGGCACAAAGAAGAAACGAATGATAGAATTTGAGGTACTTTTGGGTTTTTACCTATAACCATGGCTGTGTTGTTTCGAGGGTTTATGAGAATTGACAGATCTCGTTATCCTCCCATCTACCACGTCATTTGATATCAGAGCAAGTTGGCATGATTGATGAACATAGTCGGTACTCAAGGGGTGCAGGCTATTTGGGACGTTCTTAAGTTTCATGAAATTCTTTTCTTTAATAGAAAATTTTTTCCTTGAAAGATTTACTTTAGATTTAAAGAGTTTCCTCAAGATGAAAAGACAACTTTTAGTACCTTTACTTATTTGTGATGTATTGGATTGGTAGCTCTAAATTCAGTTTGATCGAATTCGACAATATAAACAAAAAATTCATTCGTGGTCTAGAATGAAAAAGGTTATTAATTTTGGAATTTTATGTAATCATTATGAAGAAACTTTATATTACGTGGAGAAGAGAATGAATTTATAGCATGAACCCTCTGTTGAAAAACTTTATAAACTATTACCACCGGATATCGCATGTGTAGGCATAAAAATATCAAACTGAACAAACCAAGTATTGCTAATGTTCCATCACGTGATGATGTTTTAGTTGAGAAAGGTTTTGAAGTGGCTCAAGGAATGGTTCATGGCCAAATTGACAATTTAGAGGACCAAATTGTCAAAACATTGTTGAGTTTTTTTTTTCCTTTTTAAATAGGGTACTTTTTATTTTTTATTTTTAAATCAGACACTTTAATCTTATTCCAAAAAATGAATGCTTAGTGTTGCCACTACATAAAAAAAGGATCTAATTGCTACCATATGAAAATTTTAGGGATTATATTTAATATTTACAATCTCTCAAGTTTGTGGGTAGGAGTGAAAATCTCTCAAAGTATAATTCCGATTAATCAAAAAATCGAACCGAACATAACCGAATTATGTATTTTGATTCGATTTTGACTTAAATTTGTAAAATTAAAAACCAAACCGAAATATCAAAATTATTTCTATTCGATTTTTTAAAAAAAATCGATTTTCATAAAAAAACCAAACCATTTATAGCAAGATTAGAGATTTATAATTAAAAAATTTTTACATTTAGTTTGACATTTAAATTATGGTATTTAAGGAAGAAGCATATCATTTATTAGTTCAGTCCATATATGAAAAAATAACAAAGCGTCTAGATATTAGCCCAATTTATATTTAAAATTTACCAATTAAAGAAAAAAATATTATGGTTAAAATTGAATTTTTACAAAAACAAACTCAAATAATTCAATTTTAAACTGAAATTACAGAAATTATTTTGATTTAATTTTGATTAATCGAATATCGAATCGAATTTATTCAAAATCAAATTTTTTTAACTATTTGCTCACCTTAGCGATCTTGCACTTGGCTACAATACCTATGGATAGGTTGCATGATTGCCAGCTATCATATATGAAAATATAAAACGTTTTCAACAAATTTTGAAAAAAATATATATTCCAACAGTAGTTGGAAATGGAATTTATCCCATCACCACCATATACATATAAGAATTAATATTTATCATAATTACATTGTTCTCACATCCTCTTTCTTTGTTCCTTTTGCATGAGTATTGAGACTCAAAGACCAAAGTGATGCACAAAAGCAGAGAGGCTGAGCACGCACACGCGCGTGTATACACATGTGCATATATGTGGAATCGAGGAAAATGTCTTTTTGGATTTTGATTGAAGAGGGAATTTGTTGTGAATAGAGCATAGGGAAAAAGAAGGGATTTGTACCGATCAACGTTTTGGAAAACTAGAATATCTACCATACTAATATTGGCTATCTCTTCTAACTGGGAAAAAATTTGATAATTCAATTATGAAAAAAAAAAAATTTGATCCTAGCTATCACACTCTTTGAAATATATTGCCTGGTCATGAAAATATCACATAATTATTTTAAAGTGAAATAAAAAAGAAAAGAATAAACTTTAAGAGAAAAAGTTAAACATTTGAAGTTCGTACTCGATCAAAAATCCATTACTGATCAATAATATTTTGCATCTAAAACTAGTGTAAGTAAACTCAATGACCGAAATTTAGTATTTACAGTGTAATTAAAATCAAATTAATTAATACTTGTAGTATAAAAAATAATGAAATAGCGGTTTTTTGTCTTCAAAAAAATTCTCTCATCATCAGAATTTCCCATTTTGTATGTTTTTCCTTTTGTGCTATAAATAAAATACAAAATAAAAAATAAAATTCACAAAAATACTACACTTTCTGTTCTATTTTAAAAGAGTTTTCTCATCATCAAAGGTTTCCATTTTATATATTTTTTACTTTTGTGCTCCAAAAACTAACAAAATACAAAAAATAAAAAACAAAAAAATTACAAAAGTACTACTCACTCCGTCTAAAAAAGATTGTCCCTTTTTTATTTATATTTATCTCAAAATATTTTTCTGATAAAAATTTAAATAATATCATTTTCTAAAATACCTCTTATTGATAAATAAAAAATCAATTATTTAAACCATCATGAATAGGGAAAAAAAGAAAAAAAATGATTATTAGAAGAAGCTGAAAAATTATGTGTTACCGTTAGATCAATCTAGAAGAATAGGAAGAGCTGCTTGAATAAACGGTTAGTTATTTTTGAAAATTAATGCAATTGAGTTAATGATGATAATAACAATTATATGCGACGCCTTCGTGATTATAATCAATAAAAGTAGCAATCTTACCGGACAAGAAAAAAAAGGATATGACTCTAGATATGGAGCATGCTTTACAAGAAAATACTACTGTTTTACTGTGTATAATATATTTTCATCAACACCTTAAATTAACAATTAATCATTAATTATATACACAAACATGAATAGTTTAGCAGTAATGTACTCTAATTCAAATTTGAATTTTAATGACTTAAATTTATTTAATTATTATATAACAGAAAATGTTTAACTCTCATTGTATAGTACAATACTCACAGATCTTCTGATTAAAAAGGAAAAAAACTTAGTCTAAGGCAAGACTCTATTTATGGTATTAATACTGATGCTAAGTTGTTGGTTTATTATTATTATTATTATTATTATTATTATTATTTTATTTTTTGCCTTTTGGAGTCACCCGGTGTTTAGTTATGCTCATTTTTTTGACCGGGCATTAAGATTTGTTTTAGGAAATAAATCTGCTTTTTTTATCAATAGTAATCATCGTGGATGTAAGACCTAATATTTAGATTTAATAAAACATACAGATGCATGTATCTACGGTTTCTAAGAACTTGAAAAAGAAAGAGACATATAATTAGATATTTTGTTTCAATATTTATTCCAATTATTTAATTTACATTAATTGCTTACACGAATATTCCACATCAAATCTACTTCTTATTGGTCAGAGTCCTACGTGGCAAAAATTACTTTGTCTTCCGTAATGCATTTACTTTATTTTTATTTTTAAGCATAAAGATACAATTTGGACAAAATCGATTAACATATGGGACTGAAATAAGAATGATTTGAAACTTTGGAGACCGGAATAAGTGAGAAATATTGTTTGGGGACTTAATCAAGAAAATCTGCACAGTTGAGAGGCTTATTTCCTCAAATAATGAAGTAAATATAATTCGTTGCCCAAGTCGGAAGACAAACAAAGCGAAGCGAACGAACAAGAAGACAAAATAATGATCACGTCCACGAGGAGTCTCTGTCCAAAATCTTAAAATGGATTGTCCAACGCTGCTTCTTTCGTTCTTGATTAAAGGCTTTGAACGGTGCTGATTGTGAAAGACGTGAACCACAGGCCTGCCTTATGGTAGGCTTCTCTTTCTCGATGTTGTTATTAATTACGAGGTTCAGGTTGTTTCTTTTGCTAAGAATGTTGTCTTAAAATGCTAAGAAGTTTCAATCTTTACGTAAAATGGAAAACCAAGATAACATTTTTGCAGCTCAATTCCTAAAAGTTAGCTATGTTTTTGCATCTGATTTGTGTATTCAAGCAAACTTTGTTCTTCTTTTTTGTGGCTTTTGTGATTCTGTGGAAGGGTTTTGAAGGAATTTTCTTGAAAAGGGTTTTTGAATACTTAAGGTTTAAATCCTTTGCTTAGGGATATTATCTTGTGTATTTAACATATTGCAATGAAGGTTCGAAGATAATGGTTGATGGCAATAGCTTAATTGGTAAAGCTACTTTGCATTATTCCAAGTGATTGAGAAGTGATTCCTATCCTAATTTCAAAATTAGAGAGATTAAGAAGGAAAGAGTTAAATAATTATGTTCCAAAACATTTGTCCAAAAGCCAAAAATAAATAAATAAATAAACCTATTTAGTCCTAGTCTTTTCAAACTTATTTACAGAGAAATGAGTTTAATTTGTTGCAAAGCAAACTTACTTGCTCGGTTTTATGTTCATTATTGGTGGACAATGAATTAAAAACTGGAACCACAATGGGAAAAACAGAACGAGTTTTGGAGAAATCCTTTTGTGAATGTTTTTCAGTTTGATTTGGCAGTACAGTTTTGAGTAGTTTTGTGTGCTATTGTAATAAATAACATGTTGAGGGAATTAATACTTCCATCAAGTTGTCTTTATTTCTTCATTTTGATTTTCAGGCTAGCTGTCGTCAAAAAGTGATGTGTCCCTGCAATTCAACTTCTGATAGAATTAGCGACCTACCTAGCCACATAATAGATAATATACTAATGTCTTTACCGATACGAGAAGCAGCAAAGACAAGTATCTTGTCTATGAAATGGAGAGACAAGTGGCGAGGTCTTCCGAATCTTGTATTTGATCATTTTTCCTTCCAGGTATCACCTGGTAATGCAGCACTGAGTAGGGCTAAAGTGTTGTTCAATATCTATCAAGTTCTTTTACTTCATCGTGGCCCCATTCCAAAATTTACTCTTTCTATTCCTGAGTTAGGAAGCTGTCCTGAGATTGACCAATTGGTATTTTTCCTGCGTGACAAACACATCCAGGAATTTACCTTTCACAGTTGGGGTATGGGACGCCACAAGTTGCCTTCATCTTTCTTTTCATACGAGCAACTGAGACACTTGAACCTAGCTTTTTGTCTATTGAAAGCTCCACCTACATTTGGAGGATTTTCTAGGCTCATTTCCGTTGAATTTCAAGCAGTAGATTTTGCTTCCAATGTATTTGAAAGTTTCATCTCTAAATGTCCTTTACTTGAACAACTCACAATAGATGACTGTCCCAATATTGGCTGCCTTGAGATTGATGCTCCTAATCTCAAATCTTTAACCTTCCATGGTGTTTTCGAGTCTATTTGTTTCAAAAATGCCCCACGCCTTGATTTTGTTGTGATTGACTCAATCTTGCAACTCCATGGTGAAAATGCTATGTATAACAAAGGGCATGCCTCTAATATGATTAAGGTTTTGGAAGGTCTACCTGCTATTGAGTACCTATGTATCGGTTATTTGTTTTTGAAGGTGCGCGAACTTCATGACTCTTTATATTTGATTTGATTTGAGTGCCATGTTTCTTTTATTCATAGTATGGCTTGTGGTTCCAGTACATGGCTGTAGGAAAATCGCCACAAAGGTTTCCTGCTAACATTAACCATCTAAGAGTTATTGAAGTGCCTAATATGTGTTTTGGCAAGATGGAGGATGTATCTTGTATTCTTTGCTTGATTATGAGCTCCCCTAACTTACAGAAACTTGAGCTTGCAGTAAGTTCTTATCATTTAATTATTTTGTATACATAATTTGAAAGCTGAGAGCCTGAGACCAAGAGCGGTTTTGTAGGCAACTTGTTTTGAAGATGCTGCAGCAACTGATGTTTTGGAACTTTTTGAAGATCAAGAACTCTCAGATGATTCTTTGAAACAACTTCAAGAAGTGTGGATAAACTCCTTCATTGGAGAAGCAGCAGAACTAGAGTTTGTAAAGTTCCTGTTAGCCAAATCGGTGGTGCTTGAGAAGATACTGATTCAGCCTCCACCAGGAATTGTTGCTGAGGAGGGGCTAAATATTTTGAGACGGCTGACTCGATTTCGACGTGCATCCTCTAAGGCAGAAATTATATACGTAAATCCAGATGAAGGTTGGATTTATCACATGCCTGTGAAGTTTAATCTTTTCTTAATGTTGTCCTATTGAGATAGGGCCACGATCGTATCTCCTGTAGATGTTTGTTATCAGCTAGGTCCAAAGACTGATGCAATCAAGTCAGAATTGCAGTCAGTTGCTTAGATTGTGTTTCTTTTGTTTAATTCTATCATGAATCACCCTTTGTGTAGTTTGAGTTGGTACTGTTTTTTATCATTTGAGAGATACTTTTATTTGATTTAGTCCTATTCTTCTCTTGTTAATTTAATTCACATGTTGTGGTCTTCATTATTGAATCTCCATATGTATACGTATACTTGCTGTGGGATTTGAGATAATTCGACTTGTTTCCTGTTTAAGAAAGTTCTTCAATATTTCAATCTTAACATCTCAAAGGGAAGTTGTCAATAAATTACCATCATACATGTTTTTCAAATTCTGAGCCTAGATATCTGAATCTAAGCTCATGTGTATTCAAATCTCCACCTGAGTTTAAAGGATCTAGTATACTGCTTAATTTTGAGTCTCAGAATATGGACGTGTTTGAAAGTTTGTTTCCAATTGGCCCATTTTCGACCTCGAATTCACCTCTCCTTGTCTCAAATTCCTACAGGCTACAGCAAATATTATTATACACGTTGTTATGGTAGTTCAAATTCATGCAGCAAAGATTATGCATGTTAGTGTTCTATTTAAATGTACTGGATTCCCCTATATTTCGTATCGGCAAAAACGAGTGGATCCATTGGGTTAAGCATTGACTAGGTATTTCTTCTTTTTTTGTTTTTTTTTTTAAAGGAAAATTTGTGAGACTTGAATTTGACGCTGTACCTTCTAAAACTATGTACTTATCACTGTACTGTTTCTTGTTTGTAATTTATACGTAGCAAAAAAGAGACATAAATAAAGTACAATGTCCTAGCGGTTTGACCAATGCCCCGTTAACCTTGTAGCTTTATCTGGTCACTGTATATATTAAGTTAATATATATAGATCAAAAGATCATGGGTTCAATTCCAAGAAATTAAATTTAATTTTAATGAAAAAAACGAAATCAAAAGGTTAGTTTATTATTCATTGATATTGTTTCAAATATTATTCATTCAGACTTACATATATTATTTACAAATACTCATATGGACAATTATTTTCACTATGCATTTTTTATAAAATTTTTTTTAAAAAAACATTTATTATGGAAGTTTTCATAATTTTACACTTTGGTCTTTTTATGTTTTAAACATTATTTTTTCGATCCACAAATTTTTTTGTTTTATTTTTTCTTCTTTTTTGTTCCATTTTAGTTACTTTGGTCTTTTTTTAATCTGATTTTTAATTAAAAATTTTAAGGTAAAAAGATGTTTAGAAAAAAACAATTTACTAAATAAGTTTTTAGCTAAAAATATAAATAGAGATGAATAAATAATATCTTTTAATAAAAAAATTTATGAAAACATAAAGAGTTATTAGTTAAATACAATATTTTGATTAAAAAATTATAAAACTAAATGAATTTTTATTCAATTTTGATTTGATATATTTTGATAGATGCACAATATAACACAAAACATCAAACTAAAATATTTTTTAAAAAATAATTTTACATATTCTATCCAATCCGTAATATAACACCGATAAAAAAACTAGTTATGTCCGATACAAAACAGTTGGTCATAACCAAATATTATATCTTTTGAAATAAAGGGATGAACTTACCATTTTTGTTAAAAATGCAGAGACATAATTATATCCTATACAAAAAGGTGGCCATAACCAAATATTATATCTTTTGAAATAAATGGATGAACTTATTATTTTTGTTAAAAATACAAGGACATATATATATATATATATATATATATATATATATATATCAAAAGATCATGGGTTCAATTCCAAAAAATTAGACTTATTTACATAATTAACTAAATAAACTAAAACAAAACCTCGGTTCATCGTTCCAAACACTATTCACATACTCACAATTTACTATTCATTGGTTTTTTGCACTTTGGTCTCCGATATTTGCCAACTAATCTTTCGGTCCATGTCTTCATTTTCTCATCCATTTTGGTCCCTGGATGAGAGAGAAGGAAGGAGGGAAAAGAGAGACAAGAGGAGAGAGAAAATCGCCGGCGAACCTTATTTAGGTCGCTTTGGCCGATGAAGATTTACTAGATTTGTTTATCTTTAAGAGATGAGTTTTTTCATGGTTGTTTCAAGCCATTAAACTATTAGAGGAGGTAGATTGAAGCCAAAAAAGGAAACAAAGTTTCGATTTGATTGTGTAATTTGTTTTTGTTTTTCTATGCATTAAAATGATTTTTAAGGTTTTAGATATGTTTATTGGCTTTATTCCGATCATTTAGAGGTGTTTGGAAAAAAAAATGATGTCGAAATTCAATTTTTAAGGTCCGAAACTTGAACCCCGACTTTCCGACGACCTCGATCGTAGGAAGTTGCAGCCCTCTTTTTCTTTTCAGCAGCCAAGGCCCGACTAGTAGGCTCGAGTCGCTCAACCAAGCTCGACGCGTGAGCCTAGTCGTTGTTTTTTTCTTTTTTTCTTCCTTCCGTTTCGGCTTAAGAAATTGTTATTTATTTTGGTCCCTTCATTCCTTTTTTTTTTTTTTTTTTTAATTTTGGTCATTCAACTTTTCTGATCTTTGATTTTTATCCCTATTAAAAATATTAAAATTTTATTATATGTGATTTTAATCCTTATAATCAAAATCTTTTTAACTTTTAGTAAAAATTTATGGTTTTTTTTTGTTTTTTAATATGTTTTTATTTTAGAGATGAAAATTTTCTCATATTTAATTTTTATCCCGACTATGCTAAAACTAAATAAAATTTACTATCCTAAGGTTTTTTTTTTTAACCGAAATTTTCTTTCTATTCTAATTTCTGTTTTGTTATTTTTTCTTTCTTTTCGTCATTAAATTTAGTAAAAAAAAATTTTAATCTTTAATTTGTATTTTTTTTATTTTGATAATAAAATTTTTTTCCTACAAGTAACTATTTTTTACTTTTAATAAAACTTTTTGTTATATTTTGATTTTTTTTTTATGATCTTTCATTTATTTTGATCATTAAACTTTTATTATATTTAATTATTAATCATTTTACATTAAAATTAATTACATGTTAACTATCCTAAGTTTTTTTTAAAAAAATTTTTAGTGAAAAATTTTCTGTTTTGGTTCTTATGTTATTAATTTTTTTATTTTAGTCATTAAAATTCTATAATGTTTAGTTTTGTTCCTGCCTTATACATAATGAAATTTTTTTAGTCTTATTATTTATAAGTATTTTTTGTATGCTTTTAGTGAAAGTATTTTTTTTTTTAATCCTTTTATAATCTTTACTTTGTTTTAATCATTTAATTTTTATCATGTACAATTTTATCTCTATTTTCTTTGCCAAGTTCTCGATTTGACATAACTTTTTTATCTTTTTGTTTTGAGTAGTCTCTTTGTCTCATTAATAAATTACGGATGAATAATATATGATAAAAATTAATCATCGAAAATTCAAAAAACTACCACATTACTGTTTTAATTATCGGCTATTAATAAAATACATTTTTATATAAAAAATATCTAATTAGCAATATTATATTACTCAACTTCACAGATTTTTCATTGGCTAACCCTATAGCAAATTATGAAATATTTGTTTTAGTTTTTTTTTAAATTATTTTTGCATGATATTGTCAAATAATGATTTGTAAATGTTAAATTTTATATTAATGAATCCATAAGAATGATATATAATTCATCCCATGACAACGCGCAGGATATATGCTAGTTATATCCTATACAAAGAGGTGGCCATAACCAAATATTATATCTTTTGAAATAAAGGGATAAACTTGTTGTTTTTGACACCCTCTTTTTCCCCATTTTATTCATGCTTTTTTACCAATCTACGGGCCGTACATTATCTTAATTTCTGTTTGTTTCCTAGAATTGATGGTAGAAAAACTATCATGGGTTTGCTTTAATTTGCACAATACTGCAATTTTATTTTTAAAATAATGTGAGGGTAAAGCTTAGCCTGATGATACCTCTTGGTCGTAGAACCAAAAAAGCAAAATTGTGTTTATTTTTAATTTGTGCCATTGTTTTTTGAATTTGTTATACTATATTGTGGGTGTTTATATTTGTTGAATGAAATATAAGAAATTCTTTAACTTTATTCTTATTCTTGGAAAATTGGATTCTTCGTAAATTCATGGCAACTAGGTACTTACTGGATTGGTGGGTTTGTCTTCAATTTCAGGACGGTAACTATTGTTGTTCAAACAAGGCTGTTCATTCTTCAACTTCTGATAGAATCAGTGACCTACCAAGCAATGTCATAGAGAATATCTTAATGTGCTTGCCAATTCGAGATGCAGTAAGGATCACCATCTTGTCAAAGACATGGAGGCATAGATGGGCCGATGTTCCACAAGTTGTTTTCGATGATACTTTTCTTCGCAATTCGCGGGAAGTTATAGAGGGATCAACTACTCATGAACTTTTAATGAAGACAGTATATGAAGTATTGTTACTTCACTTCGGGCCAATACATAAGTTCGTTCTTTCAATCTCTGGATTAAAAAGTTGCCCTGAGATTGATCGTTTGATTCTTTTCCTGTCTACAAAAGGTATCCAGGATTTCACTCTTGACTTCTCAAGTGAATATCCGGCCTACCATAAACTGCCTTCATACCTTTTTACATGCTTGCAACTTAGATACCTGAAACTATGTTCATGCATTTTCAAACCTCCGCCATCATTTAACGGGTTTAGCAAGCTCATTAGTATTCAGTTTCAGGGAGTCCACTTTGATGCTGAATTCTTGAAAGATTTCATCTCCAATTGTCCGCTACTTGAACGACTGAAGTTGCATAGCTGTGTGGAAATTTCCTGCCTCGAAATCAATGCTCCTAATCTGAAATTGCTACACTATATTAGCGCTTACAAATGTATCTGTTTCAAAAATGCTCCTCTTCTTGCAGAACTTTCAATTTATGAATCATCATTTGGAGAGCCAGATTCTGATAAAAGGAAGCTCTTTAATTTGATAGAGGTTTTTAGTTGTCTGCCTGCTATAGAGTACTTGAGTGTCGATTATTACTTTTTGAAGGTATAGCTTAATGCCCTTTATTTTATGTATTTCCTTAGCAAGGAATTTTTGTTAACTCTTTGTTCTGGTGGTTGTTGCAAGGACCTTGCTGTTCCTGATTCATCGATGAGGCTTCAAACTACTTTAAACCATCTGAAGTTTCTAAAGATGCTTGAATTGAGTTATGCAGAGGTGGAGGAGGTCTCTCCTGCACTTTGCTTGATTAGAAGCTCTCCTAACCTGCAAAAACTTGAGATTAGGGTTGGTCATATATATCAGAGCTATTTGATGCTTATGCTTAACAAAAAAAGTTATATGTTTGATTTATGTTTGAAAGGCTTTAATTGAGTTTGTTTCTTAATCCTTTTTCCTCTTTATAGATGTATTGCAGACACAATGATGGCAGAAATCCTTTCCTTCAACTTTCGGAGTGGGATGGCTTCTTGGATTTTTCCCTGAATCAACTCCAGGAAGTAAAATTACAAGGCTTCCATGGCACCAGGCCCGAACTGGAATTTGTTAAGCTTTTGTTAGCCAAATCATCTGCACTCAAAAGTGATGCATATTAAGGCTCACTTCGAAATGGTTGCCGAAGAACAGCTCAAAATTTTAAAGGAGATAATTCGATTTAAACGTGCATCACCTGAATCAGAAATCATCTGCGAAGATTTCAATGAAGGTTTGTAAAGATATGTTTTAGCATTATCCCATTTGAAAATGTATGTGATGTACCTGCATCTACATAGTCTTCAGAATTGATGTATCAAGTTGCGTTCTTGCCGATGGTGAAAGGCAATAGTATGTAGCTAAATTATTAGAGGACAATGACAAGATGGCAATTCAATTTTTTTAGTTGAACTAGGACTCGACCCAAAATCTTGGATTAGTATGTAGCTAAATTATTAGAGGACAATGACAAGATGGCAATTCAATTTTTTTAGTCGAACTAGGACTCGACCCAAAATCTTAGATTAGTATGAACTAAAGCCTCATCTTTCGCTTTATCTAACAAAAAATCTTCACCCATTGTTCCGTTCCTGTTTGGTGATTGAAGGTTTTCTTTTCTTTTTCCTTTTATTTTCCTAGAGGGGATACGGTTCTAATGGATGAACTACACTGTAAGCGGTAAGCTTCTCATCTCTTTAACCCGCATTCTGACTAATAACATTTTCTGCTGAGTATCAGCAAACAACTGACTATGACAAGATTGAGTGGTCTTGTTATTTCCTAATTACTTTCCCTTATGCGATGTTATTATTTCCTAATTAGTTGCCATTATTCAGTATTTTCGATTTTCTTGATCTCCCAGTTCCAACTGTTTACTGAGAAACACATGCCGGCGAAAAAAAGAAAAGAAAAGAAAAGAAAAGAAAAAAAGACTGGTTAGAATGGGATGGAGCATTAATACCTGTATAACTAGTCCATAAAATTTGTAGTATTTGGTGAAATTTTATAATACTTAAGGAATAATTAATAGTATGTAGATAGAAAAACAGGAGAGAAAATTAAAAAAAATTGAGTAAAAGTGAAAAATCATCTTATCACTTTTGATGGGTTTGGATGTAATTCTTTTTCTTTTTTATGTGTCTATCTCTTTCTCCGAGATAGACCCATAGCATAATTGTTATACATGTCACTAGTTATTTTTTGACAAAATGAGTCTATGGAATAACTACTATATATGTCACTAGTTATTCTTTAAATATTATAAAATTTCACGTAGTATTTCTTAGAAACATAAGGTATAGTAATTTTTAATGTTTTTTCAATTGAATACATACATTTTTTTTTTTGCACACCTCTTTTTTCAAAGAGGTCAATTGAATACATATACCCCCCCCCCTTTTTTTTTTTTTAGGCAAAGCAGCCAATCGAATATTTTCCACCACCAAGGACACTTTTAGTATTTATTGGACAAAAAAATAGAAAGTTGTGAAATAATTTGGAGAGAAAAATTCCTCAAAAAATAAAAGGGTAAAAAAATCATAATTAAATAATTTGAGGTAAAATACACATAATCGAAAGTTGTGAAATAATTTGGAGAGAAAAATTCCTCCAAAAATAAAAGGGTAAAAAAATCATAATTGAATAATTTGAGGAAAAATACACATAATCAAATAATGAAATAATTGATATAAGTTTGAATATTTGATTGGTAATTTTAAATTGAAGTACTCAAATGAAATTCATACATTCGATTAAAGAATCATTAAAAACTAGTGTATCAATAATGCAATTATCCCAATACAATTGAAACCTCATGGATACATTTTACATTTCCTCAAAACTATAGAAACGTTCAAGACATGACTCCCCATATTTCCATTTCTTAGAAAGACTTGAGGTAGCTACCACAATTTACAAAAGAAATGGAATATTAATAGACAATCTTGGAACTTGGAAGAAACATGGTAATAACTAAAAGATATTATTACGAGATAGTAATTAAGATTATCTTGGTCATTGCATCAGTTCCATGGTTGAAGTGTTTGTAAGACCTAGAAGTTGGACTTTTGTTGTAGCATATGATTATCAGGCTTAGTCTTGAGAAAACTTGACCAAGTTAGAATGAAGCAGCTTCGTGAATCAAATTCAGATAAAAATCAGCCAATTACCCAGTCGATATCACAAAGAAGATTCTCAAGTTTCTACCGATAAAGATGCAGTGAGGATAAGTATCTGGTCCAGAAAATGGAGGCATCAGTGGGCAATAATCTCTCCCAGCTTGTATTCGATTATTCTTTTGTCAATGCATTAGCAAAGACCACCTCTTCTTCTCGAAGCAGGATAATGTTGAACTATTTGTCAAGTTTCTTTGGTTTACAATGGACAATTAAAACATTTTACTCTTTCCATTTCTACGTGGAGAAGCTCTCCTGAGATTGATTGGTTAATGTTTCACTTGTCTAACTAAGGTATCCAGGATCTTACTCTCCACATTGGGCAGGGTGGCCGACACCAAGATACATTCCTACCTTTTCTCATTTCTTCAATTGATGGAGCTAAATCTGTACAATTGTGTGTTCAAGCCTCCATATTCATTTAAAGGATTAAGTAGTCTTGTTACTTTGGAATTGCAAGAAGTTGATTTACCAGTTGGTTTTTTTGAAGATTTTTTTATCCAAGTGCTTGCTACTCGAATTCTAAAGTCTTGTACTTGTCAAGCCGAACAGAATTTCAGAATCTCCAAAGTCCAAACTGAGGCTCCGAATCTCCAGAATATTTCCTTTACGGTGTTTTTAAATCAATTTGCTTTAAAAATATGCCACTTCTTACAAGATTATCCTTTGAATTAGTTGAAGATAGAAAGACAAGATTTGAGATTGTTGAGACCGCTAATATATATAGTTGAGGTATTTGGGTCCCTTGTTGTGGTGGATACAATTTATGCAGATTACCATTTATTGAAAGTAAGTTACTTTTTTTTTTGGCATTATTAGTCTACTTATTTTGTTTAGCACATCAAGTTTTGCATGTCCTGAATCTTCTCTTTGCTTCAAGGTACTGGTTAATAGTGATCTACCAAAGAGGCTACGAGCAAACCTTGAAGATATCGGGTTAGTTAATTTTGGCTGTGCAGAGGAGGCGAAAGTGGGTATCCTTTATTGTTTGATTAGCAGCTCACCTAACTTGAAGATTCTTCATTTTCACATGAGTCATTATACACATCATAGATAATGGATATGTATTTTAATTGTTTTCATGTTGAATTGGTTCAACTATCTTTTTCTAGGCATACCCCAGCATCAGCTGCACGAACCCTGTCCAACAAATTTCGAAAGATCAACATTACTCGAATAATTCTCTTCAACAAATCTGATTAAAGTCATTAATAGAAAGTTGAGCCCTCTTCAGGAACAGATGATAATTGAAGATTTGAGATTTTGAGGGAGATAACTAAATTTAGATGTGTATCAAAGGTAGCAGGAGTTATATATTTGGATCCTATGGATGATGACAGTAATTAAGACTATTTTAGGAATGCACTCTTTCTATATTTCAATCTGAACCTGACTTATGTTATGTGGTTCGTATTGGCTTTGCAACATAGCCTTGAAGAATACATTTTAATAGACATAAGATCACTTTCATTTATTTATTTAAGATGATTATTTGATTTATATTCGGAATTTTTTTTACTCCTGTTGCTCCACTAGCAGATAAGGTTTTTATCTTATGGCCTTCCCATACAAACAAACGCGTTCAATGCTCTATTGGAGAAGGAAAGAGGACACAATGATGCAGAGAATGGTGAACGAGGGCACTGACTCTTTCCATAACCCTAAAGAAGCCACCCTCGTTGCCATAAAAAAGATCCAATGAGCCAGGGCTCTTTCAGATGAAGAGAACGAGAAGAAAAGTTAGAGCACCATTATGGTGCCAGAAGCAAACACAACACTAGCAAAGATCATCATGAAAAACACCATAAGGATAACTCTTCATCGGAGACCTTTTCAATGAGTACAGAACCCAATCGCCACTGTATCAAAAGAAATTCACACACCTCCGCCCAGCCAAACCTAAGCCACTACAGCCACAAGTTCCAAACTTCTCCTCTAGCCCCTCACATTCTAAACATAAAACTTTTCAAAGAGCTCATCTCAAAAAAGATATACCATGGTTCCACTGATCCTAAGAAACATATTCAAAATGTGAGGGGGATTCTCAACCTAATACTACAAGGAACTAACGCCATATGCAAAGTGCTCCCTATCACATTTCGAGATATAGCCATATAGCCAAAAATGGTATAATAGTTCGGATCCCGAGTCCATCCTAAGTTTCAAAAGACCTTAGCTCCAAACTAGTTACTCGTTTTTCCACTAGTATCTCTGCTAAGAGTTGTTCATCATAACTCTTCTTGGTCTCTCAACAAGAGAGAGAAAGCACCCGGGTATAACTCTTTTGTTTCCATGAGAAAATGCCAAAGGTTGACGGATTGCTAGAATCAGTCGCAACATAAGCTTTGGTTGAATGAATAAGGATGCTAGATCGTCGAGAAAAATTTATGCCCTTTTAAATAAAAATCTTTACCAAGAAAAATGATAGGACTTCCGATGTGATTTTCATATCACCAAGCATTAAATTACACATACCTTCATCGACTTAAACAAAAATAAGACGAGTAGAAATAATTTATGTATTACTTTGAACAGGAAAATGTCATTCCAAAGGCCTAGATAACTTATTCCAGTCTAAACCAAACACGTTTTCCAATACTTGAATGGACTATTAATGAATCTAGATGAAACTTGTTAATTCTACTGACAAAATCTGGTGACACATGTCAATCCAGAAACTATAAGCATTCTAAGCCCAAGAACAGGATACGTGATCCCCTTAAAAGGCTAGGTGGTGCTTTAGCAAAATACTAGTCCTCTTTAAACTCGAGGTATTAACTAATGTAAAACATTCGGTCATTGTAGATTTAGAGCATCTCCAATGTTTTTTTTTATATTAAAATTTTTTTTATAATAAAAATGTTTAGCTTAAATTCTATCTTCAATGCTTTCTTTATCACAATCTATATCTTTAAAAGTAAGATATATTGTGTCTTTAGCTCTACAAT